GGCACTCCAGCATAGGTGAGAGAGCAAGACCCATTCTAAAAAAAAAAAAATCACACTCCATTTTTTGGGCTCCTACACTCACATATCATAATGGCTGAGAAGACTATGCAACTTACTTGAGTGCTTTAAAGTACAAGGACCCAGGAATCACTCAGTTTACTTCAAAGAAAGAGGGGCTTGTTTGAAAAGAAAAACTGAGACTTATCCCAGAGCTGAAACACTGTTGGATATTGAGGTACCTAGAGAGCTGCCCCTCCACGTCTCCATCTCTCACATTTCCGCATTCCCCATGGCATTTCTTTTCCTGTTTTTCTCTCAATACCAACTCACTCTCCTTTTTTTTCTTTTTTAGACAGGATCTCACTTTGTCTCCCAGGCTTGGGTGTAGTGGCATGATCTTGGGTCACTGCAACCTCCACTTCCCGAGTTCAAGCAATTCTAGTGCCTCAGACTCCCCAGTAGCTGGGATTACAGGCATGCACTACCACACTCCGTTAATTTTTTTTATTTTTAGTAGAGACGGGGTTTCACCATGTTGGCCAGGCTGGTCTCGAACTCCTAGCCTCAAATGATCTGCCCACCTCAGCCTTCCAAACTGCTGGGATTACAGGTGTGAACCAACACACCCAGCCTTTTTATTTTTTATTCTACCCTTTGGTTGCTGCTTCCTTATAATTTCATCTTCCTTACAGCATAGATACTATTTTAACTTGCAAATTCTCAGTTTCCTGGTACACATTCTCCCGCAAAGAAAGTCTTGTTGGGCCTGCATATCTTTCTACCAAGCCACATCATGGGTCTTCTGGCCTCGAATTAGGTGTTACTTGTGGTCAAAACTACTTCAAGGCAGTGGTGGCTGCCCCCACAGCAAGGGCTATGGGCATGGGTGTAGCAAACAGGAACTGACTGACATCTTTGGTATCCTGCTATACTCGTTTCCCTTGCTTTCTCCTTCAGTTTTCTGCAATTCTCCTAAGCTTTCTAGTATTCACACCTAGATCTTATCATTCCCTCTTTCTATTTTCAATATCAGCAATTCAGTTCAGCATCAGTCCTCATATTGGTTTTTGCAAATTCCCCAATGTGTTGTTTCCAATAATTGTTGGGTTTGGTTTTGTTTATGAAGTCAAGCAGGCTTTGTTAGAGCTCATCTTTGCACCATCTAGCTTCTCACCAACTGACTCGGCATCCCTTACATTGGTATGGTAAAAGTGAGCTCAGGAGAAATCATGAGTTATATAAGTGCAACTCTCATGGCTTCTTTTAAAAATATCAGAAAGGTGAAAGGTGTATGATAATGGCACAAAACTGTCTTCATATAAGAAAGACAGCCTTTTTTTTTTTTTTTTTTTTTTTTTTTTTTTTTGACACAGGGTCTCCCATGGTTGCCCAGGCTGGAGTGCAGTGGCACAATCATGGCTCACTGTAGTCTCGACCTCCCAGGCTCAAGCAATTCTCTCACGTGAGTCTCCCAAGTGGCTGGAACCACAGGTACACACCACCAAGCCTAGCAAACTTTTTAGTTTTTCATAGAGACAGGTTCTCTCTATGTTGCCCAGGCTGGTCTCGAACGCCTGGGCTCAAGCAATCCTCCTTCCCAAACCTCCCAAAGTGCTGGGATTATAGGTATGAGTGACCACATCTGGCCTTGAGACAGCCATTCAAAAGCTAATTTCCAGAATAGGTTTATCAAAAGCTAATGCTATCATGTGTTGAGTTGAAGAGTTTATATAAATAATGGCAGTAGAAGTCATATAGCCCTGAACCAACAGGGAAGACTAACAGGGAATTAACAGGAAATGTAGAGGAGTATATGGATATTTGATAGGCACTAATGTCTCTGCCATATGTAGTACATGACATACACAACCGTATGTGGCATGGCTCTGGATAATAATTTGAACAAGAAATAATGAGAATAATGGAATGGATAGCAGAAAGCAAATTTCAAAAATTTTGAAGAACTTGATGACTGGGTAAAAAAGTGATTAAAGATTAATGAGATTTGGGGCATGGTTGAATAGTTATTCAATACCATTGATATGGTTTATGGTTGATTGGATGCCGCATGCAGAGTATGAAAATAAAAATAAAAATAGTTTATGGTTGTGCATGACTGCATTTAGAATTCAGGTCTTCCGATCCTAAACCCAATGTTCTATTCATTCTTTCGGGCTCCATATTTCATGTACGACATAGTAAAATATATTATTTTTTAAAATTCTGGAATCAGATGGATTGATCATGATATTCCCAGTGTCTAGAACAGTGCTTGGACCATGGGAAATATTCAACAAACAGTTATTGAATAAGTGGATGAGTGAATGAATGAATGAAGAAATGAATGAAGAAAGTAGATTTTATTACAAGAGACTAAATAAAAGAAGTTTTGACTTTACATGTTATTAGATCTTGCAAATGGTTTCCAGGGAAGTTTTAACAGCTTTTAAAATCACTTTTTTTAAAACAGCTTATATATGCTTATGTCCCCATTCCTAAATAATAGAAGAAATCTAATTAACTTTGTCCTTCCTTAGTCTTATTTTAAAGATGAAAAATATTCATATCCTAATAAAATAATCCATGCGGTCCTTTTACCTTTAATATTCTATGTGCCTCTAAGACAAAACTATCCATAATTAAGTTTCCTCTGCAACTTACAAAGAATGCATTTGCTGGCTCCTCCCCTGTAAATATTGCTGTGATGACCATATTTTTTTCTTTACCAAATGGCAAGTGATTGAACAACTAAGTCTAATATTAAAAATCTGGATTTTCCTGGAAAGTGCAAGACCTATGAACATTCAATGGCCTTGGATTTAAAGTCTCCTGGGCTGTGTTATCAGGGCTGATGTTCACCAATATTGCAAAATTTTCATTGGTCAGCAGTCTATTTTGATTGTCTGAGCCTATGCAATACTATTCAAAAAAATCTTTATCCTCCAAGAGCTTAATTTAGTAACAGAGAAGCTAACTGAATCTATGATAAACAGGTTTGAACCCAGATAGTTTGATTTTGTGGTGGGGAAATTTGTATCCTTCCTTGACTGTCTCCCAATCACAACTTACCACTTTGCTCACCAAAAGACCTGGGATAAATTCTACATTCATCACAGTAAACCTAGAACTCTAGTGTCATATGCAGATGAAATAAGAACATTTTTACATGTAGTTGCCAACTTGGGTGTGTGGTTTTTTTTGTTGTTGTTGTTTTGTTGAGTCAGAGTCTTGTTCTGTCACTCAGGCTAGAGTGCAATGGTGTGATCTCGGCTCACTACGACCTCCACCTCCCGGGTTCAAGTGATTCTCCCACCTCAGCCTCCTGAGTAGCTGGGATTACAAGTAACCACCATCATGCCTAGCTAATTTTTTTGTATTTTTGTAGAGATGGGGTTTCACCATGTTGGCCAGACTGGTCTTGAACTCCCGACTTCAGGTGATCCTGCCCGCCTTGGCCTTCCAAAGTGCTAGGATTGCAGGCATGAGCCACTACACCTGGCCAGGTGTATGTTTTAAAAAATAGTTTTAGATAGGCACAATGGCTTACACCTGTAATCTCAGCTCTTGGGGAGGCCAAGTTAGGCAGATGACCTGAGGTCAGGAGTTCAAGACTAGCTTGGCCAACATGGTAAAACCCTACCTCTACTGAAAATACAAAAATTAGTGGGGCATGGTGGAGCATGCCTGTAATCCCAGCTACTTGGGAGCCTGAGGCATGAGAATTACTTGAACCCAGGAGGCGGAGGTTGCAGTGAGCTAAAAACACCTAACTGTACTCCAGCCTGGGCAACAGAGCAAGACAACATCTCAAAAAAAAAAAAAAAAAAAAAAGAATAGTTTTAGAGTTGGGGGCATGGTGGCTCATGCATATAATCTCAGCATTTTGGGAGGCCAAGGCAGGAGGATCACTTGAGAGAAGGAGTTCAAGACCAGCCTGGCAACACAGCAAGGCCCCATCTCTACTTAAAAAAAAAATTAATTAGGGTGTTTCTTCATCTTGGTTAACAGTACTTGGTTAACTTGGTTAAGAGTTAATTATAAGATAGAAGTAGCCTAGATCCTTAATTATCTACTAGGAGGAGAGCAACCCTATAGGCATTGGACTGTGACATGAGCAAGAAATAAATCTTAGCCAGGCCTGGTGGCATGGGCCTGTAGTACCAGCTACTCAGTAGGCTGAGGTGAGAAGATCACTTGAGCCCAGGAGTGAGAGACTGCAGTGAGCTATGATCACACTTACAAATAGCCACTGTACTCTAGCCTGGGCAAACTAGCAAGACTCCATCTCTTAAAAAACTAAAACTAGCTAGATGCAGTAGCTCACGCCTGTAATCTCAGCCCTTTGGGAGGCTGAGGCAGGCAGATCACAAGGTCAGGAGATCAAGACCATCCTGGCCAACATGGTGAAACCCTGTCTCTACTAAAATACAAAAAAAAAAAAAATTAGCCGGGCACAGTGGCACATGCCTATGGTCCCACCTAATCAGGAGACTGAGGCAGGGGAATCACTTGAACCCAGGAGGCAGAGGTTGCAGTGAGCCAAGATTGTACCACTGCACTCCAGCCTGGTGACAGTGCAAGACTCTGTCTCAAAACAAACAAAATCAAAACTAAAATTCAAAAAATCTTTATTGTATTAAGCCACTCATGTTAATTTACCAACTATTATACTGGCTAAGGGGAAAATGGGGAGCTGAAATCCAGCCCCGATTTAGTCACTGAACCATGTGCCTTGGCATAGTCTTTTGCCAAACTGAGTGCCCTAGGCTGCATTCTCCCAGCTTTTTCTAATTCACATACAAATGCTGATATGGTCTGGCTGTGTCCTGACCCAAATCTCATCTCAAATTGGTAGCTCCCATAATTCCCATGTGTTGTGGTAAGAATCAGTGGAAGATAATTGAATCATACTATTCTCGTGGTAGTGAAGAAGTCTCATGAGATCTGATGGTTTTACAAGGGGAAAACCTGTTTTGCTTGGCTCTCATTCTGTCTTGCAGGCTGCCATATAAGACATGCCTTTCACCTTCTGCCGATTGTGAGGCCTCCCTAGCCACATGGAACCATGAGTTCATTAAGCCTTTTTCTTATAAATTATCCAGTCTCAGGTATGTCTTCAATAGCAGGATAAGAACAGACGAATACAGTAAATTGGTACCAAGAGTGGGGTGCTGCTGTAAAGATAACTGAAAATGTAGAAGTGACTTTGGAGCTGGGTAATAGGCAGAGGTTGGAACAGTTTGGAGGGTTCAGAAGAAGATAAAAATGTGGGAAAGTTTGGAACTTCCTAGAGACTTGTTCAATGGCTTTGACCAAAATGCTGATACTGACATGGTTAATGAAATCCAGACTGAGGTAATCTCAGATAGAGATGAAGAACTTGTTGGGAACTAGAGTAAAGGTGACTCTTGCTAAGTTTTAGCAAAGAGAATGGGGACATTTTGCCCCTGCCCTAGAGATTTGTGGAACTTTGAACTTGAAGAAAATGTTTTAGGGTACCTAGCAGAAGAAATTTCTAAGTAGTAAAACATTCAAGAGGCGATTTGAGTGCTGTTAAAAGCATTCAGTTTTAAAAGGGAAACAAAGCATAAAAGTTTGGAAAATTTGCAGCCCGACAATGTGATAGAAAAGAAAAAACCCATTTTCTGGGAAGAAATTCAAGCTGGCTGCAGAAATTTGCACAAGTAACCAGGAATGAAATGTTAATGCCTCCAGAGCATGTCAGAGACCTCTGCATCATCCCCTCCCATCACAGGCCCAGAGGCCTAAAAGGGAAAAATGGTTTCATGGCCTGGGCTCAGGGCTTCCCTGCTGTGTGCAGCCTAGGAACTTGGTGCCCTGCATCCCAGCCACTCTACCCATGGCTAAAAGGCCAAGCTATGGCTCAGGCTGTGGCTTCAGAGGGTGCAAGACCCAAGCCTTGACAGCTACCACATGGTATTGAGCCTGCAGATGCACAGAAATCAAGAATTGAGGTTTGGGAACTTCCACCTAGATTTTAGAGGACACACAAAAATGCCTGGATATCCAGGCAGAAGTTTGCTGTGGGGGAGGAGCCCACATGGAGAACCTCTGCTAGGGCAGTGCAGAAGGGAAATGTGGGGTTGAATATCCCATGCAGAGTCCCCACTGGGGCACTGCCTTGTGGAGCTGTGACAAGAGGGCCACTGTCCTCCAGACCCCAGAAAGGTAGATCCACCAACAGCTTGTACTGTGCACCTGGAAAAGCTATAGACACTCAATGCCAGCCTGTGAAAGCAGCCAGGAACAAGGTTGAACCCAGGAGGCAGAGTTTTTGGTGAGCCAAGATCATGCCACTGCAGTCCACTCTGGGCAACTGAGCAAGAATCGATCTAAAAAAAAAATAATTTTAGTATCTTGCCATTTAAAAAAAAAAAAATATTTGACTGCTCCACTGGATTTTGGACTTGCATGGGGCCATTAGCCCCTTCATTTTGGCCACTTTCTCCCATGTAGTTATCCAATGCCTACCTTATTGTATCTAGGAAGTAACTACGTTGCTTTTGATTTTATAGGCTTATAGGTGGAAGGGACTTGCTTTGTCTCAGATGAGACTTCGAACTGTAAACTTTTGAGTTAATACTGAAACGAGTTAAGACTTTGGGGAACTGTTGGGAAGGCATGATTGGTTTTGAAATGGGAGAACATGAGGGGCCAGAAGCAGAATGATATGGTTTGGCTGTGCCCCCACCCAAATCTCATCTTGAATTATAACTCCCATAATTCCCATGTGTTGTGAGAGAAACCCAGTGGGAGATAATCGAATAATTGGGGTGGTTTCACCTATACTGTTTGCATGGTAGTGACTAAGTCTTATGAGATCTGATGATTTTATAAGGGGAAACCGTTTTCACTTGGCTCTCATTTTGTCTTGCCTGCTGCCATGTAAGACATGCCTTTTGCCTTCTGCTATGAATGTAAGGCCTCCCCAGCCACATGGAACTGTGATTCCATTAAACTTCTCTTTATTTATAAATTATCCAGTCACGGGTATGTCTTTTTTTTTTTTTTTTTTTGAGACAGAGTCTCCCTCTATTGCCCAGGCTGGAGTAGTGTGGTGGCACAATCTAAGCTAACCGCAGCTCCACCTCCTGGGTTCAAGCAATTCTCCTGCCTCAGCCTCCCAAGTAGCTGGGACTACAGGCACGTGCCACCATGCCCAGCTAGTTTATCTGTATTTTTGGTAAAGATAGGGTTTCACCATATTGGCCAGGCTGGTGTCGAACTCCTGACCTCATGATCAACTTCCCTCAGTTTCCCAAAGTGCTGAGATTACAGGCATGAGCCACTGTGCCTAGCCAGGTATGTCTTTATTAGCAGTGTGAGAACAGACTAATACAGATGTCATACAAACTAGCAGTAGCCCTGACTAGTTCCTTCCCACAGAAAACTCTGTCTCCACTCTATTTTCCCTTTATCATCCCTCTATAAAGAGTTACCAGATTCTAAAGCAAAGCTCTGCTAATGCCATTTCCTACTCACCGAAACCCTCAGAAAGGCCTCATGGCTTCATGGATTAACACTCCAATCCTTAACATGGTCTCCAAGATCCTCTGCAATTCACTGAAAAAATCCACCTATCAGCCCAGTCACTATCTTTTCTTCTCATACCCATGTTCTCCAGCTCTGGAATCTAGCTGGCATGAGACAAAGAGCTCCCTCAGCCTGACTCCACATAGCAAGTGCACCACATCTCACATCCTCTCAGTTTATGGAATCTCCACCATCACTTACTCCACAATTTCCACAGCATGGAATCTCTTTGGGTCCTTCCACTTTCTTGGGCCACCACTCCCTTCAGTATTGAAATTAAAGGGCTAAATTTCCATCTTATATATTATAAGGGAAACTCTATCTTGAATATCTGGGGGCAAAATGGAGGTATGTCTTGCAGTTGTTTCTAAGTTAGTTCACTCTACACCTGTTCTTCCACCCTGGCTCTGTGGCATAGCAAGAACTCAGCTGTGTTCTCACCCAGCTGAGTGGAGGGTGTCAGTAGCACTCACCTTATCACAAAGAAACCAAAAGGCAAGGAAAGATAGCCTACAATACATTCACTCCTACTCTGTAGCCGCTAACATTGCCAGATAAAATACAGATGCTCATTAAATTGGCCTTTCAAATAAACAGTGAATCATTTTTTGGTATGCCCCAAGTATATAGCCTGTGACATATTTATGCTAAAAAATCATTTGTTGTTTTCTAAAACTCAGATATAACTGCTGTCCTGTATTTTTATTTGCTAAATCTGGCAACCCTAACAGTAGACCCCTTTTTGTTAATTTCTTAATCTGTTGCTCAGATTAGGGGAAGAAGCAGGACGCTTCCAGCCAATGCATAATCCACCAAAAACACTACCATTTGAAATAACATTTTTTTCCCTCAACAGCAACGGAGGGAAAACAGTTTTCCCTCCTATTATTATTCATGTATTATAGTGATTTATACACAATAATTAGCCTCTCATGTGACAAAATAAACTTTGTGAAGTTCGGAATCTTATTCTTTATATTCTTTCATTGGCTGGCTGGATTGAAAGCATTTTTCATGAACTGACTACCTACCTGCTGCATTGGCATTTGAGGAAGTCAAAACCAGCAACAGCACTAGAAATTTTAAAGCAGATAAGAATCAGAAGAAAATATCTTGGGCTTAGCACTTTTTCTGACTTGCATAATGAGCCATGGATTTTATAACTTTGGCCTTGCACATATGTTTCCTAATATTTCCCCATATGTTCTAGGGAATACTTAGCTGGGTTTCACCTGAGGGGTATCAGACACTCAAAAGAACACAGGTTATGCCTAGAAGTCCTTCTTTTACGTTAGCTTGTCAGAGAAGTAATTCTTCCCTAGAACAAAAAAGTTAGCTGGGTACAGTGGCTCACGCCTATAATCCCAGCACTTTGGAAGGTCAAGGCAGGCAGATCACCTGAAGTTGGGGGTTCGATACCAGCTGACCAACATGGACAATCCCCATCTCTACTAAAAATACAAAATTAGCCAGACCTGGTTGCTCATGCCTGTAGTTCCAGCTACTCAGGAGGCTGAGGCAGGAAAATCACTTGAATCCAGGAGGGAGAGGTTGCAGTGAGCCGAGATTGCACCATTGCACTCCAGCCTGGGCAACAAGAGCAAACCTCCATCTCAAAAAAAAAAAAAAAAGCTGGCCAGGCACAGTGTCTCACATCTATAATACCAGCACTTTGGGAGGCTGACATTGGTGAATCACCTTAGGTCAGGAGTTCGAGAGCAGCTGACCACACATGGTGAAACCCTGTCTCTACTAAAAATATAAAATTAGCCAGGTGTGGTGGCTCATGCCTGTAATCCCACTACTTTGGGAGGCTGAGGAGGGCGGATCATGAGGTCAGGAGTTCGAGACCAGCCTGGCCGATATGGTGAAACCTTGTCTCTACTAAAAACACAAAAATTAGCCAGGCATGGTGGCACTCTCCTGCAGTCCCAGCTACTCTTGAGGCTGAGGCCATTGCCCTCCAGCCCGGGCGACAGAGCCAGACTCCAACTCAAAAAAAAAAAAAAATTAGCCAGGTGTGATGGCACATGCCTGTAATCCCAGCTACTTGGAAGGCAGAGACAGGAGAATCACTTGAACTCAGGAGGTGGAGGCTGCAGTGACATGCCATTGCACTCCAGCCTGGGCAAAAAGAATGAAACTCCATCTCAAAAAATTAAAAATAAAAAAAAAACAAAGTTAGCATCTCCACAGGGTGGGTGTAATTTTATTCTCTTTCAAACACATACATCATCTGTAGAATATGAAAGTAGTACACTGGCCAAACGTTAATGTCTTGTAAATCAGAGACTGTCCAGCTCTCACACCTATGCTTTCTTGGTAGCCTGTCTGGAAGCCAGAAATATGGTGGGTTAGATTATAGAGATTAATTAAATAGTATAAAATGTACATAGCTACCATAAAAAACAAATGGTCTTGTTCTTTCCCTCATAACATCCATGTTTCAGATGCCAGTAGGTATCACCAGCATGGCGATTCTTTTCATAAAGAATAGGAAATTAATCATATACTTGGCAGTGCCCTGTACTTTCCTGAGGTAATAGTAGTAAAT